GCTCTTGCCCCCGCGTGCCGTCCCCCAGCCGCACCCCGAGGTTTCCCTGCAGGTACCGCACCACTTGCACCATCTCCTCGGGTGTCAGATCCGCAAAGACCCGGCTCTGGCTTGCGGACCCCGTCTTCTCCATGACACGGGGCTGGGATTCACAGCTGGGTGATTGCCTGCCCCTGCTCAGCAGCATGCAGGAGAGGATGAAGATTATCACGGCAGCCCCGACCAGGAGAATGTAGGGGAGTTTGGGGTTCATCTCTCTGAAGGCAGAGACAGCGCGTGGGGTTTGGCTGCAGCATCCAGAATACGTCCCTCAACTACAGACCAGGCTCTTATTTCATTTGCCGACCGTGGGCGTAAAGGCGTCGCTTGCGAGGTGGGGCGGGAGCCTGGATCTTGCATGGGACCGGAGAGCAGATCGCAGCTCCCGGCCCGTTCAGCCTGTTCCTCCCCTCCCCAGGCACGGGGAAGCCCGCCGGGGCGCCGGCGCCTGGCTCACTCCCCAATTGGGTTTCTCTGCTGCAGGGCACCACCACGAAGCGCCCCAGCCTCAGTCTGCCCGAGGGGCCTTTGCTTCTCCCAGCGCGTCCCAGGACGCCCCATCCCGTCTCACATGGGAGCGCAGCGATGCCGCAGGGGCCGGCTCAGCCAGCCCCGCTCCTGCCGCACCCTGGCACCCGCCCCGCTAACCCTGACCACCCGGTCTAGGCTGACACTCCAGAAGAGCCCAAGACCCGCCAGCTCCCCAGCACCTCCATGTGCCTGCTCTCCCTGTCGCCTTTCTCTCCTGTCTCCAAGTCCCTCCCAGCCCTCAGGGAAGCGACGTGGCAGCTCCAGCCCCGCTCCGGCTGTGGGCAGACCAGCAGAGACTGGAGGAAGCTCCCTGGTGGGAACGGGCAGCACTCACTGAACCCCTGGCAGAACTGTGAGCACCAGGCAGCACCTGGAGCGGCTGCACCAGGAGGAGCAGAGGCTGCAGGACGACAAACAGGACACGGTGCCCATTCGGCCATCCCAACCCCACTCCAGCAGACGTGATGTTCGGACAAGAGCTGTCACGGGCAGAAATGGTTACTGTCAGGAAACTGCTCAGTATTCCCAGCCGCGTGATGGACTTTCCCTGGCGAGAAGAGCCACAAGGAGCCCTTTGGAGACAGCGAGCAGGGGGCTGGGGTCACCCCACCATGATGTGAGGGCGGCTGCTCCTGCACGACCACCAGCTCCCGCACAGCTGGCCCCGCTGCACCCGGCCCCATGCGTGTCGCCGCCAGCCGAGGATGGCTTTCTGGAGATCGTGGTCCACTCCACGTCCTTCTGGTGGAGAGAGTTTGAGGCACAAGCAGGAGGGGCTGAAACCACTACAGCACTGGATCAATTTACCACTCTTGCGACCATGTTAATTCAGGAACTTACGTTTTCATTCTCACTTCCAGCCAGGGAATAATCGCCCTTTTTCCCGGCGGGTCCCACACCATCCTCAGATCAGGATCTAAGAAACCCGTGCAGGAGATGACCCGTTTTTGTTGTGCTGCCGTTTCGCCTTCCCTGTGCTTGGAAGGTGGGGATCCTGCAGGGCACTGCTCGAGCACCCCACAGAGCCCCGAGCCCCGCAAGGGACACAGCTCCCCTCCCTCCCTAAAGGGAACAGCTCTGGGATTTTATACTGCTCTTCTCAAGAGCATTTTGCAGCAGCCAAGGCTCAGGGGCTGTAAACACAGCAGGGAACTGAGGCGCACAGCAGTCACGGAAAAGGACCATGCAGGAACTGTATTTTAGCATGTTTTCAAGCCTTGCTTACAGAAGGGAACCAGTATCAGCCCTGTTTTCAACCCTAATGACAGCAGCAGCACTTTCAAGGCCACACAAACCACTGCACTGCAGGCAGGTACACGAGAGGACGCGTGCCAGCAACTGAACACCTGCGCTGGAGACCGCTGCAGCTTGATGTACGTAGTTCTTTGATTACCCCCTGCAGTGCAGGAGACAGTGCTGGTTACTGGAGCTACATCCCCCCTCGGGCTGGTACAGATGCTGTCCACTGCCCGCCAGCGATCGCTTTGGTCCTGTGCAGATGTAGAACATTTTTTCCCCTACATTTACAGGAGCAGATTTCAATAACAGACACCCAATGCTGCCAGTCTCTGCCCCCAGCACCCCCACTGCCCCTGCGCCTCCGCGCACCGCCGTTCCTGGACGGGCCTTTACGGAGAAGCTCGGCCGTG